ATGAAACGGCAGAATTGCTGTAAGCGTTAGTTTTGCGTTCAAATTTACACACTATATATAAACGAAGAGGAAATAATAAAGCGTTTTGTCCTTTCTCAAGGATCCTTTCCTAGACACCTTTACAAGAAGTCACAAGGACATTTGGAAGCGCTGTTTTTTTGCGCTGGATGGGTTTCGAAATGGATAACCTGACCCGACTTCAATAGAGTGGACATTATTCTGGTGACGAGGTCACTTAGTTGGGCTCATATAACGCTTGGATTCTATAACGTGCGCTTTCCATCAGTTGCTGCCGCCTAAGAAAACCCAACTTTTGAGGGAGGGGAAGTTCCGGTGTGCGTAAAGCTTTTCGCTTTCTTTTCTATACCCACCCTGGAGCTTACTCCCTTGCAAAAGATTGAATTGCTTTCAGGCAATGTAAACTGTCGCATGCCTTTACTGGTTGAGACCCAAATACATATTCATAAAGTGAAAAAATTTTAGGACTATGATGACAAACAGGATTTAGTGGAGTTGGTCGACGTCTGTTTAATAGAAATCTGTCCATACAAAAAAATGTCCATACCCGTTCGGATATTTCTCCAAGTCATGCAGTACAGTACGATCACAGTGCTCGAACACCAGATGCAACTTCCGATTCCGCTTGAAGACTTCCAGCAACGAGACAAGATTCGGATGTTTTAGTTGCTGCAACACATTACACTAGTGAAAGCACTCTTGCTTGGTAAGCGAGATATGCAGCCTTGGATTTTGCAGGGGCAAGAGGGTTTGCCCATATTTCAGTATTCCTGCAAACTTTTGAATAGTAACCCCATTGAAACGCTCAAACGTTACCTTGAGCATCCGTATTTCTCTCAAGGCGATTTTCTTGATCTGGGGATCGTCCTCGGTTTCGAAGAATTTCTTGATCGCAACGATCTGAAGAGCATATGTGAACAATTTTCTCATACAGAGCAAGCCTATCATAGCTAGTAGTGGCACAGTGAAACAATAAGATTCAAATGAAAAAGTACATAGAACCTTTTGAAGCGTCCAACAATAAGTCACACAATAGCTCTTATTTTTCAGCTCTATAGATCTCAGAAGGAAGGTCCGCATCTTTTATCTCAGAAGCCTAACAACATCCAAGTGGGTCAGCTAAGCGATTTCACCTTCAAGTTGAAGGTACGGCGCATTACTGATGGATTAATGACCGATTCGCCAGTCACATTTTCTGTATCTTCCTTTTCGCATTTTTCCTATTCAACTTCTTCAACTGAGGAATTCAACCTTACCATTCCATTATCTCTGTTCCGACATTTGTAGACGACGCCGTACGATCCTTCACCGATTTTACCGAGTTTCTCATACTTTTCCATCGTTTCGCACTTTCGTCTCGCACCACTGGAAGAAAAAAGTTGTTATTTTGGCAGCGATGCGACCGGTGTTATTACCGGTATAATGCCAAGAAGCACCATGTGGTTAATCTTCATGCGACAAAAACAGGAAGAAACAGTGAAGCTGTTGGCACTCACCATAGCAACTTCAAAACGCCTAGCGAGTCCAGGGTCTAGTCAATTTGTGAGTTGCACAAACAATTAAGACAAAATGAATGAGCGAACTATTCAGGTCACAATATGACCGTGATAATATCAGTAATGAAAATAGTATCAAATATAAGTGAATATTATGCAACGCATTCATATTAGGCAGGAATTTCCATGAAGAGGTCCTACTCTGTGACACGTCCTAAGCAGCGCGTGGGGGTTGCGGGCTCACTGTACTAGCAGGCTGAACGCTTTGGTGCAAGCCCTGCCCTGTACGTACAACTTCTGAAAGGACCTACAGATTGACAAAATTACATTCTGAATGGCTTGCGATTATTCCGTAGTCGTCCTAAGATAACATCTAGTTTACTGCTCACTTTTAGTCCTTGAGGCTGCGCCATATACGCATCTGAGTCAGGGAGCTTGAATGATAGGAGAGTCGAAGCGAAATATATAAAAATGGAGATATAAAAATGAAAACAACAGGACTGCATAAAGTATGCGTCAAGCTACTCCAAGGCCTCTGTTGGTTTGAGAAGCTTGTTCCCCGCGTTGCAGACAGAATTGTGTTCGCAGTTTTGCATGTCAATAGTTAGATGCGGGGGAGGAGGCTAGTGATAAGTGCGATCATGTGAATTGTACTGAAGATGGCAGTCTGAAGCATGTACAACTGCAGAGTCCTTGTCACTGAATGGTCGGTTATGTCGGGTTTTATCAGAGTGACGTACAATTATTGTGCTATATTATAACTGGTTACAGGCCAAACACATGCAAAAAACTTACCATTGACGTAGAGGGCCTAAGATCAGGTATGATAATTCTATGAAATGATCTATATGTCGAGGACGTAAAAGTCCGTCCGTCGACTAACATTCTCTATAGAGCTGGTCAGTTATTTCGCATGACGGCAAGCGATTGGCCATATTTGATGACGATCGATCGTAGGAAGCAATGGTCCAAAAGATCGAGCATTTATTAGACGAAGGTCCCGCCGGCAAACGACATATATAAAATGATGAACCAGCTGAAAACCTTGAATATGGTAGATCAGGAGAATGTCAACGATGCAGTTACCTTCGCAGGGTGCGGTCGTTACAAACGCAGGCTTGTCCCTGCTTCGAGTTTTAGATGATGGGAACACTTACAGAATGCCCTACAATGTGATTCTGTAGAGGTTGAAGAAGGTTGGTACTTTCCCGAGAATGCGCAGTAATGTAAGTGTGTGGGAGGGGTACTTGTAGCACACGCCTATGCTGTACGTTTCTGTGTATGAGAAGCAAAATAGCTTCGTAAAAGCTAAGTATTCCTAGTACTATGACAGTGGCTCTCCACCACAGATCGACTTTTATAGACAGGTAGCCACTTTCTATGGGAAATTAAAGAACTCTCGCCAGAAGTGTTGAAAGAAGCGCAATTATCCAGGGTCGTTAGGGGGAAATCTGTTGAGTAATCAACGGACGGATGTAATTTCATTTTCGGAAACTGTCAATCAGTCTGAAAACAAAATTCCGCTTCCCCAATCGACATGAGTTCCTCAGGGACATCTCCTGCAATCCGCAACAAACTCAGCTCACTTACCATTGGGTGCAATATTCAGAAACTCGACCCCAGGTGACTTTGCACTTGGAAACTCAGTAGAGATAGCTTATACCACAAACCTTTTTTGCAACGCTCACAAAGCGCACGACCAGGGTAAATTCCTTGATCAATTTAGCCCAGGTAACCAAGGGTTTCAACCCTTCAGCGAAAGCTGAAGGCAAGTGGAAAGACGAAAAATGATGTTAAACAAGAAGTGTGCCTTCTACAGAAAGGGGCTGGGTCCCTAAAATTAAGGCATAACACATTCTTGGCTACGTCTCGGCCCTTAAGGGTCCAGTCATGTCTAGGTACATTAGCACCGATGACTCTTACGCACGGTCAGCGGGGTGAAGAAGAGTCTCGTTCAGGAGGTACCCTTGAGTTCTCTCTTCACTATTGTGACTCTTATCACCTCCACTAGGGGGAAGTGGTGTAGTGGCAAGTGGCACGCTTACCACGCGAGCGGTCCGGGGATCAAATCCTGGGTCGTGAGTCGTCCCGGGCCAACCAAGCCTTCCATCCCTCCGGGTCGGTTAATTGGTACCAGACTTGTCTGGGAGGATAAAAACACTGACTTGTACATCGGCTGGCCCCCGCAAGTCATTGTATAGGCCACATCGCATTCAAACGCCACTACGAATGTACAAATGGAAGTAGAATGCATCCCAAAAAGGGATTGATCAACGGCAAATGCTTTCATCTTTTATCCCTTTATCACCTCCATTGTCATTTCCCAAGAGCAACGATTAGTCGTAACATGTGCCTTTAGAAGGATATCAGATTCATCTGGCAGAATAAAACCACGAATTTGGGAAAACGGGCAAACATAGGACTCTATAGGTCATTATATTGGCCGATTCAAATCCAAGTGCCGCTGGGTGCAACAGAAATGCATGACGCATACTGAGAAGGGGCATACGCGGCGTCCTCCGATCATGGCAGTCACCGTCGGTGACCCGATATCCCACAAGTACCTTTTCCATTTCCGTTCTCAGTGAGTATGAAATGCCGGATACCTGATGATACCTGTACCTACTGAAGTAAAGCTGTCATCGCATAGATTGAGAGC